ACTGTTTACTGCATTAAATGTCAAGTATACTATCTGTATTTAATTTCAAATGCCTATCTCACTTATCGAAGGTATACAAGAAATGTTTTTTTGAAACAAATTCAGCACAACCAAAACCATGTCCACATAATATGACAAATCCAAGATGGCTGCCACAATTTTAGATCCATGCACATGTGAAGAAGTTAGAAATACACATGGTCCACAAGTTCCATCCCCAATAAAATGTGAAGTTTAAGGTTTTCACACATATCAACTCTATTCCTATATACTTTATATTTGTGGTAAGGCTTGTGATCTAGGTAAACTTAGCATGTTCATGTACCTCCTATCCTCTGAAGCTAAAAACAGAAATAGTGACTTCAATTGAGAAAAATGAATCTTATGGGCTCCATATACATTTTGAGTGGCTGTCCGGCTTAAGTTAGATACTACTGATAATCTGAGATTGAAAATTATGTCAAGTTTAGTCCTCGGCCTCTCATAACGGATAACTTCGAGGTAATTGTGTTGTTACTGCGAAAACCTCTATTTCTTCATCACAAATCTACCATCTTTTGCATCATTAAATATATATATTCAACTTGTTATTCAGAATATTTTAAGAACTTTTCATGAATTTTTTTATTTTGACACTTTTGAAAAAATGACTAAGTCAGAGAATGGCCTCTTAATGGCATGTCCCCTTTTAAGACCCAACAAGAGAAATTGAATTTCTTCCTTTTTGGCACCCTAAAATTGAACAGCGCTACAAACATAACTGTTTTTGAAACTAGTGCCTCTTTTCTCCAGAATTGTGTAAGTGTCTGAGTGTTAGCAGCAATTATCAAACCATCTATGCTTAATTAATTCACCAATTTGCTTTACCAAATGGATTATTTTTTGTAAATAAAATGTTGTTAATTAACCTTGCGACTTATGTTAAACAAAGTCGCCTTTTTGGATATTTTCTTTTAACATATATTATTGCATAAATAAAACATGATAAATAAATAAATAAATAAAAAAAGCTTCATCATTTTGTTGGATTGTGATAAGACATTTAAAAACACTGATAACATTTTTCAAGTTTAAAGGTCCTCAAGATTAGCCAATCAAAATCCAGTATTTAGCATTGCTGTTAATTAAACTTACTAATGACTATCCTGACTATCTGTGCCATGTTAAAGTGTGGATGTAACCTGATATTTTAATGAGAGTTGCTAGCAACTTTAAAACCGGCCTTTAAAGACTTCTCTCAGAGGGGAGGTATGTAGCGACCCGGGGTTGGCTAGTCATATTGTACTCTTAAATGAAGTGTCAACCTTTTCCCCGGTGTCGCTACTTATCTTCCGCTCGAAGCGCGAATAGTACCGCTGCAACGGCGCGAAGAGAGCTGGCGCCATATTTTTCACTCACGAGGTTGTTTTTATTTGATTTTGATTACTTTCGACACTTGATCAGGCCTGGTCGATCATTATGGCAGCCAGAGGGATGAAGAGAGTCGAGTGGCTGCAAAATTAAAAAAACTATATTCAAATTAATTCAGTGGAGCCAGGAATCGAACCATGGTTTGACCGCACAGTAAGTGAGTATAGACCACTTGGGCCTGCTATAATAGGAATGGTCAATCAACGCTATTCATATATACGGCTCTAATTTACAAGTCACGTGATATTCTTTGGCGATGATTTTCCAAGAAATTGGATGGCCGGCGAACGTCGAAACAATTGAAGGAACTATTGTGATAATGACGCCTTTATCGTATTTGTACAAAATCTTTGCCCCAATTGTTCATCAGCGTACATCCTCTCATTTCAGCTCAATATATCACCAGGGACATCGGAACAACCCACGATTGCATTTTATCGAGAAGTCACGGTTTAAGTCAGTGTTAGTTTAAGTATTTGAATGTTAAATTACATCTCTCCTTAAGTTTCTGTACAACACGTCATGTCAATACCATAATATAATGATACTTTTCTAGCCTTTTAAAAAAGTTGCAAGTGTTATATGCAAGTATTTATAATTCATCACTTCGTTTCTTTTGACTGACCACTCTGGCATTCACAATTCACCACCTCATATCATCTGATAGTTTCATCAATTGGAAATATACACAAATGATACATGCTAGTGTTCATAAGTCATCACCTCATTTCTTTTGATAGTTCAACGACTTTGATAAATACACAAATGTTACATGCAAGTGTTCATAATTCATCACCTGGTGTCTTTGTACTGATAGTTAAATCACTTGGATATATGCACAAGTGTTACATGCTAGTGTTCATAATTCATCACCTGGTGTCTTTGTACTGATAGTTCAATCGATTGGATATATGCACAAGTGTTACATGCTAATGTTCATAATTCATCACCTGGTGTCTTTGTACTGATAGTTCAATCACTTGGATATATGCACAAGTGTTACATGCTAGTGTTCATAATTCATCACCTGGTGTCTTTGTACTGATAGTTCAATCACTTGGATATATGCACAAGTGTTACATGCTAGTGTTCATAATTTATCACCTCGTGTCTTTGTACTACTGATAGTTCAATCACTTGGATATATACACAAGTGTTACATGCTAGTGTTCATAATTCATCACCTCGTTTCTTTGTACTGATAGTTCAATCACTTGGATATATACACAAGTGTTACATGCTAGTATTAATAATTAATCACCTGGTGTCTTTGTACTGATAGTTCAATCACTTGGATATATACACAAGTGTTACATGCTAGTATTCATAATTCATTACCTCGTTACTTTATACTGCTAGTTCAATCACTTGGATATATGCACAAATGTTACATGCTAGTATTCATAATTCATTACCTCGTTACTTTATAATGCTAGTTCAATCACTTGGATATATGCATAAGTGTTACATGCTACTATTCATAATTCATTACCTCGTTACTTTATACTGCTACTTCAATCACTTGGATATATACACAAGTGTTACATGCTAGTATTCATAATTCATCACCTGGTGTCTTTGTACTGATAGTTCAATCTCTTGGATATATACACAAATGTTACATGCTAGTATTCATAATTCATTACCTCGTTACTTTATACTGCTAGTTCAATCACTTGGATAGATGCATAAGTGTTACATGCTAGTATTCATAATTCATCACCTCGTGTCTTTATACTGATAGTTCAATCACTTGGATATATACACAAATGTTACATGCTAGTATTCATAATTCATTACCTCGTTACTTTATACTGCTAGTTCAATTACTTGGATATATGCACAAGTGTTATATGCTAGTATTCATAATTCATCACCTCGTGTCTTTGAACTGATGGTTCAATCTCTTGGATATGTGTACATGTGTTACATGTAAGTGTTCATAGGTCATCACCTCATTTCTTTTGATAGTTGCTAGTGCTCATAAGTCATCACCTCGTTTCTATTGATAGTTCAACCACTTGAATAAATACCCAAGTATCACAGGCTGGTGTTCACGATTTATCACCTCGTGTCTTTGTACTGATAGTTCAATCGCTTGGATAAATACACAAATGTCACAGGCCAGTATTCATAATTCATCACCTCGTGTCTTTGTACTGATAGTTCAATCACTTGGATATATGCACACGTGTTACACACTAGTATTCATAATTCATCACCTCATGTCTTTGTACTAATAGTTCAATCAGTTGGATAAATACACAAATTTCTCAGGCTAGTGCTCATGATTCATCACCTCGTTTCTTTGTACTGACAGTCCAATCACTTATATGTTACATGCTAGTATTCATAATTCATCACCTCGTTTCTTTGATCTGACAGTTATATGGATATATGCATAAGTGTTATATGCTAGTATTCATAATTTATCATCTCGTGTCTTTGTACTGATAGTCCAATCACTTATATGTTATATGCTAGTATTCATAATTCATCACCTCGTTTCCTTGAACTGACAGTTCAATCATTTGGATATATGCACAAGTGTAAAATGCTAGTATTCATAAGTCATTGCCTCGCTTCTTTGAACTCATAGTTCAATCAATAAGTGTTATATGCTAGTATTCATAATTCATCAACTCGTGTCTTTGTACTGATAGTCCAATCACTTATATGTTATATGCTAGTATTCATTATTCGTCACCTCGTTTCTTTGAACTGACAGTTCAATCATCTGGATATATGCACAAGTATTACATGCTAGTATCAATAACTCATATCCTCATTCCAATGTACTGATAGTTCAAACACTTGGATATATGCACAAGTGTAACATGCTAGTATTCATAATTCATCAACTCGTGTCTTTGTACTGATAGTCCAATCACTTATATGTTATATGCTAGTATTCATTATTCGTCACCTCGTTTCTTTGAACTGACAGTTCAATCATCTGGATATATGCACAAGTATTACATGCTAGTATCAATAACTCATATCCTCATTCCAATGTACTGATAGTTCAAACACTTGGATATATGCACAAGTGTAACATGCTAGTATTCATAATTCATCAACTCGTGTCTTTGTACTGATAGTCCAATCACTTATATGTTATATGCTAGTATTCATTATTCGTCACCTCGTTTCTTTGAACTGATAGTTCAAACACTTGGATATATGCACAAGTATTACATGCTAGTATCAATAACTCATATCCTCATTCCAATGTACTGATAGTTCAAACACTTGGATATATGCACAAGTGTAACATGCTAGTTTTCATAATTCACCACCTTGAGTCTTTGTACTCATTGTTCAATATCACTTTGATATAGGCATAAGTGTTACATGTTAGTATTCATAATTCATCACCTCGTTTCTTTGTATTGGTAGTTCAGCCACTTGGATATATGCAAAATGTCACTGGCTAGTATTCATAATTCATCACCTCGTGTCTTTGTACTGATTGTTTAATCACTTGGATATATACACTAGTGTTTAATGCTAGCATTCATAATTCATCACCATATTTCTTTGTGCTAATAGCGCAATCACTTGGATATATGCGCAAGTGTTAATTTCTTGTTATCATACCCTCGTTATCATTAAGACTGCTGGTTCATTTACTTAGATATTTACAAATTTTACATGTTTGTATTCACAATTCATCACCTTGTTTCCATTGATAGCTCTGTTACTTGGATCTGAACATTTACAGTTTTGTGCTTATAGTAGCTACTACCACTGCATCATTTGTGTTCCTTGGAGTTGGCTCCTGTGGTGGCCCAGGTGTTGACTTACACTTGCACTTCCCAAACAGCTCGTTCCAAGGAAGTGTGCTAAATGTGTAGAGTATTGGGTTGATAGCGCTGTTGATTGGCAACACAAATATACTTACATACGCAACAATTTCTCCTGGAATGAATAAATTATTTTAATTATTTTATTTTAGTTCATCTTCACGTATTGTCGTTGTTCAGTGCAATTTTCACCTTTTTATGCTGTGCTTTCCTTCTCTTTAGTCAAAATACCGATCCTGTTATTCCAGCTAAATGTATTTCTATTCGGACAAACATTTCCGCTTGGTGAAATCCTTAGAATATCAAATTATAAATTTGTATTTACATCTTAAATTAGATGTTTTCTTTTTAATCGTGACTCTGTTGGACCAGTTTCACAGAAAGCAGTTCATTTTTAAGTCTTCGTCTTCATGGTAGAAGTTAAAAAACGATTATTACGATAATGTGATTTAAATCGTCTGAATGTAGTTAGAGGATCAAAATTACGTACATTTGGTTTATAGTAGAGCAAACTAATGTCATAAATGACTTCATATGAACTAAGGTTTCAATACATCATTAGAAAGCTGAGAGTGTCCGCGTTAAGAATCTAGCCTCCATTTGAGTTTTCATTGAATGCAATGTTAGATGTTAGCCTTTCATCACCAACAGAACATACATGTATATTAACTTAACGAAAATCAATCTCAAAATGACAATTACCCTCTATGACCAGAATGGATTATTTTTAAATTTAGAATACAGTAACACATTCAATGTAATAATATATTTCGGATAATAGTTAAGAGTTTGAACCCAGTTAATTCTAAAGGAACACACACAATCTAAACAAAAGGTATTGTCAATACATATCAAAATTAAGTGGAATCTATCAAGCCAAATATGTGACCCTTGCCCCCCCCCCTTCTCCTGTTTTATATGAAAAATCAATGAAAAATAACTGTGGTAATTTGAAAAAGAAACCCATAATTATGTACATACTATTGTGTTGCTTGGACCACAAACTTTGTTGCTAGGGACGGAAATAGAGGCCAATTGTCAAACATTTCAGGGGGAAATTCAAATTGAGGTTAGTTCCCCAAAGCTGACACTTTCAGCTTTCCAACGGTCTACAATGAACGCACTTAGAGGCTCTGTTTTGCTCAAGTGAGATAATATTTATCTATTGAAGTTTTATAAGAAAACGTGCACTTATACTAGTATACATCAACATACATACCTGGCAGCTGCACCTTGTAATAGGTTAGAAATCCCATGATTATTACAGGAACCCAGCAGCAGAAGTCGGTTGCTACGATCCACATCAATTTCGCCGCCATCTTCCTTTCTTTCTCCTGTCCAGAGCATTGTTTGGATTTTAATCTGGAGATCCTTGTAGCAAAGAATATAGCCAAGTAGCCAGTAGCTATAAGAACAAAGGCGATAAGGTTGACAACATTAAAAAGAGCAAAAGAATACTCCCAACCATTGAAATGGGAATATTGTTGCTGCATGTTTTGTCTATCTAATGCAATGCTTTCCTCCAATTCGGTACTTTCATGTTGGTTTAACATGGCTTTGTTAAACATGGCTTCTTTTGCCGAATCATAATTCAACATTAGCGGTAAGCAAAAGCCGGATTGCGTGTAGAACTCATGAGGGCTGAAGTAATTGAGAGGAAGAAGTGGTAAAGCTGTTAGGGTAGTACAGAGAATCCAGCCAAAGACGAGAACACAAAGTACAACACGCTTGGAAAAGTGTAACCACATTTTAAAGGGAAACACTATTTTGAGGAATCGGTCAAGCGTCATGACAACGAGGATGTACACAGACATTTCACTTGACAATGATGCAATAAATCCTGAAGCCATGCATAAGCCACTTTGGGTCCAGACTTCCCGGTTTTGAAAGTAGGTCTCTCTGTATTTCATATCCATCACAGCTATTATGATAATGTATACTCCCATTATCATATCCGATAATGAGAGATTCACCACCAATAGTTTATTAATACTTTGCCTCGTTCCGTCTTCCCGGGACCGAATTGCTATGACTGCACTGTTCCCAAGTAGTATACATATACCAATTGTCCACAGAGACACCCTGAGTATGTCGTTCTTCACCAGATCTTCACATGAGGAAAGATGGTCCGGTTGTGGAATACACTCTTTCACTGTTGGTGGAACGATACAGCATAATTCCATATGATCGGTTTTAACGTAAGTCAAATTCTTAAGTCCCTCAAATAAAGTCAGTGGGTATTTGGGCAATGCTTTTTGTAAAATCCCGATCTGTTCAATATTTTTAAGTTTGGTAAATGTGTGTTTCTCGATCGTTTGGATGCCACCTTCCCTTATAAACACATGTTTCAGTGAATGAAGACCTTCAAATAAAGTCGGTTTTAGACGTGGTACTTTCAAATGAGAAAACCCAATTGTTTTCAGTCTGTTCAATCCATCAAACTGTCTGTCTGATAATCTCTCTCTTCTTGGAACATTATAAAATCCAAGAATCTCTAGGTTACTATAATTCGTTGGGTTTCTAAACATTCTTTTGTATATATTTGATTGACTTATGAGTAATTCACGTAATATGGGTGGATTAGGGAGAAAAACGTCTTCTTCACGTTTTATATCCCATCCAATAATATTTAATATCTCCAGAGAAATTAAATCTTGAAATATTCTACTTTTAACTGGATATTCCAAACTAATTGGGTTATGCATATTCAAGTACTTAAGTCTATGCAAACCTCCAAATGACATGTTCCCCAACTTCATGGGCTTCCTGTTCGAGTACATGTAGAGATTTTCGAGTTTATCCAGCCCCTTAAATCCAAACGAGGATATTTCATGTATCTCATTGTCACTGAGACCTATTTCTTGAAGATTTGGCATTCCATGAAACATTCCATTTTCTATATAACGTATTTTGTTGCCACCTGCATGCACGACTTTAACAGTTTCCGATATATGTGTAGGTATTGTGTACAGCCCTGCTCCGTTGCAACTGATAATTCGAATCGCCTCACCGAATAGAACGGTACACGGGCACGGCCGTCGTGTAAGGCATATTGGGTAGCTCGAATACTGATCCAGATAAGATTTCTTCACACAGATGAAAGTATCGGTGATATTTTCTTTACATTCTGCTTGACTCCAAGTAATGTTGACTTCAGATGTGTTTACCTCATTTCTGTTTGTCACCAGCAAGCCGCATACTCTAGCACCAGTCATTAAACCTGGAAATGAAAACCACAGAAGGGTTAAAAGATTTAGAAGGGATACTAGAGAATGTAAATGTTGGATGTTTTGACAGCATTTATACTCGACACCAACAAGCCACATACTCTAGCACCAGTCATAAACCTTGAAATGAAAACCACAGAAGGGTTAAAAGATTTAGAAGGGATACTAGAGAATGTAAATGTTGGATGTTTTGACAGCATTTATACTCGACACCAACAAGCCATATACTCTAGCACCAGTCATTAAACCTTGAAATGAAAACCACAGAAGGGTTAAAAGATTTAGAAGGGATACTAGAGAATGTAAATGTTGGATGTTTTGACAACATTTATACTCAACACCAACAAGCCACATACTCTAGCACCAGTCATTAAACCTTGAAATGAAAACCACAGAAGGGTTAAAAAATTTAGAAGGGATACTAGAGAATGTAAATGTTGGATGTTTTGATAGCATTTATACTCGTCACCAACAAGCCGCATGTTCTAGCACCAGTCACCAAACCTTGAAATGAAAACCATGGTAGGGTAAAAAGATTAAGATAATGTAGACGGCGTTTTGAATTTAGCGGTATTTGTTTGAAACTGAGAGAGAATTTGTTTGTCAATGACGTATTATGTAACTGTGCTATTATTGGTTCTGGTATGACCAACGTGTTCTTGATCACTTCGACTTTATCTGCGGACCTACACACAGAAGACAAGAAGATTAAGGTTTCTCAAGAATTAGTCATATAAATCCGACCGTTGTATGCTGTTCTTCGATATTCCTTGTTCCTATTTGGATATTTATTTTTTATCATTTTCTTAGCATATACGGTCGTAGATATTATTGCTGACAAATTGCGGTAAACGCTTTTCTGGCCTGTCTTGGTAACCATAGTTATCATACTAACCAAAGTCACACAAATTATCGAGTAATTATTTAGCTCCAACATCAAAGTGTTAAATCTTACCTTAGACATGTAAAACGCTTGATAACTGACGAAATATAATCAATTGAATTATATTTTCATTATCGCCCGCCATGTTGCTGAATGTTGTTTCCGGTAGTCTAAATGTAAAACATGTAACGAAACGGAATCACAATTATTTATTACACAGAGATCGATTCCAAAGCCGTTATCTCATACTTATTACTTTTCTCATTTTGAAACAATAACTTTTCTAAATTACTTCCCTTCTTAACGACACTGCTTCCCTTTCAACTGAATCTTCTTGTTACAAGTACTTATGATTTCATTTGATATAGTTTTACATCTAGACTCAGATTAACCCGGAAGTGACCTTAGCATGGCAAAATGAAAAAAAATTTAAATTCAAGCGGCATGCTTATATTTCTTCAATTACCAAGCGTTTTACGTGTCTAAGGTAAGATTAAATACTTTATAGTTGAAGTAAAGATATTTATTTATCATTTGTGTGAATTTGGTTGGGTAGACAGGCCAGGAAAGCATTTCCCGCAATTTAGATGCGCGGAGTGTGTATGACCCTAGTATGCAAGAAAATAAGAAAAAATAAATATCCAAATTAGAAAAAATAACAACAAATAACATCATACGAGGGTCAGATTTATATGACTATCAAGAATAGTTTAAACCGTAGTTCAACCATACCATTTTAATTTAAGTTAGATTAGTAAGTAAGTCTCAGTCAGATTTCCTAACTTTTGTAAAAGGGCTAGTTTTATGAATGTTTCTTTACAGTTTACAGGTAGACTTCCTATTTGTTTTCAAAGAAGAAACATTTAGGCACTTCTAAACATTAACAGAACTTTCGTAAAGTTACGAATTCGCAAGTCAATTGTTAATTTTACGAATTTGGTAAATGTGCATTAACAGAACTTTCGTAAAGTTACGAACGATTCGCAAAGTTACGAAAAAATGACGTCACGTATGCTTTCGTTCGTAACTTTAATAGCACCTCAGACCCTTTCATAACTTTGCGAATGGCACATTTCTCATCCAATTCTTATGTAAGGTATACAGGTTGGCAAAAAGAAATCGTTCTCTATATGCATGCTGAGTTTCAAGCTAAAATATTTACCTATTCTTACATGATAAGCAAATATGTTCCTGAGCTGGGAATCTTTGAAATCGCGGAGACAGGTTTGATCACAGCGCGCAATGATATCAAATGACATCATATTTTTATTTGTGCTAAATAATGATATAAGATGACGTCATAATTTGAAATTCGTTTACGAACGATAAAACTTATGAATGACTTACGAAGGTGTTCTGTTAATGGCCGATTCGTAACTTTATGAATTCGTAAATCATTCGTAACTTTTTAAATATTTACGAATTTCATAAAGTTACGAATTACGAATTCGTAACTTTGCGAAAGTTCTGTTAATGACCCCCAGGGCCCCGTTTTTGTACCGTTCGTAGTAACGAACGTTCGCAATTCGTAAATTCGTAAATATTTAAAAAGTTACGAATGAGTTACGAATTCGTAAAGTTGCGAATGGATCATTTTTGTACGCTTTCGTAATAGGCGAGTAGGCCAAAGAAATAAATTATGAGTTTAATAGTTCAACTGACCCTATGGGAAAATTTGGTATCATAGCAAAGCTCAGAGAATTGTCTATGTTGTGTGATAAATAATTTGTGTTGGAATAGGTGACGTTGTCATGGAAACGGGCGTTGAACAAAAGATGTCCTTAATAAGAATAAAAAGTACAGCACCATTGCAAGGGATATCTGGTTAAGTCAATGTGCAACTTTGAAAGAATGAAAATTAAGGAATTGAAAGAATTTTAGTTTATCTTCAACATTTAACTCAAAAGTATACATATTCTACTCTTTTTTGATTATTGTGATGTCATAATGGTCTATTTTGAATGAAAAACAGTTGGTCTCATATGAAATTATTAACACCATTAGATTGTGTAATCACAATTGCTTACAAATGTTACCTTTATGTATATCAAATGAAAGCTACTGCTCTCACGATCATTTTGGTATATAAATTGTAAACATTGATCATTTACTCTCTGAGATATTATGATATAAGGTGATTTAAATTGTGGCCTGAGTTACAGAAATTATCAGCAGTTCGGCATTATCGCAAATGACAAAATATTGGCGAATTTCTACCATTGTATACATTCTTATTGATATCATAACTTTAGTAGTATTTTGACCCTATGAGAAAAGTTGGTATCAATGCAAAGCTTTGACAACTGTCTATGATGTGTGATATATGATAAGTGTTTAAACAGGTGCCGTTGCCATGGAAACGGGCGTTGAGCAATAGGTATCCTTAATAAGATTGAAATACGTATAGGAATGGGCATTTCAAGCCAGTGATCCAAATATGCATATTTTATTAATAGCAATTGTGTGGAAATAGACCAATTTTTATCAATCTTGAACTATAATGACTAAATGATTCTATATATTAAATTTTAAAGTGTTATTGTGACATCACAATAGCGGATTTCAAATGAGAAACAGTTTACTTTACATGGTCTCCGTGAAACTGATATCTTCCATGATTACAATTGCAAAAGAATATGCACTTTATAAATATCAAATTAAAGCTAGTGCAATAACGAGTATTATGATAAGTAAATCAACATGATTAGATCAAGCTATGCCGTGGTTTCATGCTTTTGAATCTGGGGTATCAGTGGTTATAGACACAAAATACTGTATGAGAGGTCTGAGACTAACATCTTTTATGCTAGTCTCGGGAGAGGTGGAACAACTTTTTATCCTGATCGATGAGTCTGAAAGTCGCAAGAAAAGTGTTTTCCTCAGTACGTACGGTATGTTGTCATGTATGTCTCATATCAGACAAAGCTTTATAAACATTTAAAGTCACTAATTTAAGTAAATACTCCTATTGTGATGGCATTATAATAAATGATTTACAACTTTTGGTGTTCTTTAAAGTTGCACTAAACTGTTTTACTCATTTTAGACATGGGCGTGATTTAGAAATAATTAT